GACTTTTTTAAGGTATGCATTTAATCCTCCTGTATGGATCTGAGAAGGAGCCTGGGTGGAGCAATGTTTGTTGTTGTTGATATTTTGAAAAAAGCAAAACCCCACTGCCATCGAGTTGATTCAGACTCACAGAGGCCTACCCAAGGTGCCTGAGGCTGTAAATCTTTATGGGAGCAGACAGCCTCATCTTTCTCCTTCTGCACGGACGGGGGATTTAAACTGCCGACCTTGCAACTGAACCAGTGACATTGCCACCAGGGCTCCTTGTAGTGGTTAAAAGTAGGCTAAAAGTCTATGATCCAGAGTGGGTACAAAATTATGCCCCCACAAGCAGTAATTCCATAATCTACCCAACACTTAGTATTGTCAGACTTTTATATTTTACCAATCTGATACATCTATAATGGTATCTCACTGTGATTTTAATTTCTATTTTGCAGATTGTTAGTGAGGCTAAGAAACATCTAATAGGATCATTAGCCATTCAAATGTTTTCTTGTTGTTAATTGCCTGCTTATATTTCTTACCATTTCCCTTTTGATTAAAGTGCTTGCTTGGCTGCTCACCAAAAGGTTAGTGGTTTGTACCCCCAGCAGCTCCACAGGAAAAAGCTGTGGCAGTCTGCTTCAGTAAAGACTTAGTCTTGGAAGCCCTATGGGACAGTTCTCGTCAGTTCTATTGGGTTGCTGTGAGCAGCATCAGCATCAACTTGATGGCAGTGGTTGGTTTTAAGTACCTTCAGAACAATCGCCTCCTATGTCATGAAACCAAGAGAACTAGATGGCATGCCGCTACCCGTATTGAATATTTTCACTGAAGATTCTACAGAAGAATCCTGATCAAAAGGAGAGAAATGCAGAACAATTTCAAATCCTCATGGACTCCAGACTTCTAGAGAGAGGAAGGCTGAGTAAACTCCTGAAATTATTACCCTGATATTATGTTTAAACCTTAAACCAAAAATATCAGAAGTCTTAAAACCAAACAATAGCTTAGTTTAAGTGGCTTGAGTATTATGCTCATTTAATAACAAATAACCTGGGATCAAATTAATCACAGCAATTGGAAAGGTTAGATAAGAGCCTTAGGGAGCGATGAGTTGATGTTACTGCAGGAGGAACAGTTCAAAGGAGGAAAAGTAAGGTTGATTGCACAACATCACTAATGCCCCAGTGGCCTTGAGTGGTACAGTACTTGCAGGACTGCTGATTTGGTGTGCGTTTTGCTGTATATATTCTTAACAGCAAAATAATTTTTTTTAATTAGAAAATTACCAAATCGTGACGCTATCCCGTTCATTTCAGTATGATACAATGGAAACAATGTGGGATTCAGACACAGAAATAGATTTCCATGACTTTCTCTGAATGCCAGTTTTCTCATTAATAAAAAAGGATCATCAGACATTACATTATTATAGTTGAATGAAATTTAATATGTATGAAAAGTGCTTCTGAGTTGTAAATCCAAGGATTATGCATTCATATGTGAACTGAGTTGCTAACACCTTGCTAATCCTTAAATTTCTCCAGACTTTTTTTTCCCCAACGGTCTTATGGGCACATAATTTACATATCATGCAATTGAATAATTCGATTGTTCAATTATATTGAGAGTTCTCCAGACGTGGTCTCCTCAATTCTAAAACTGTCCAATGGAGATTTATAATGCCTTTGTGTTCCCTGGGTTGGATACAAGGAGCAAATGAGATAATGTACAAAGGGAAGTATAAATTGTTACCAGTATTCACCTTTAACAAATATAGAAATTTTGAAAATGGTCTTTCTATCTGACTATAGAAATTGGAATTCTCCATTACAGACATAGTTCAAGTTCCTAAAATATTTTCTAATATTATTTGCCATCTTGCTTAAATACATTGTTTTCTTAAAACTGGCTTGTTAAAGACTTAATGATTTTAATGTAAGAAAAAGTAAGTTACAAAATATACAGTTTTTCAAACCGGAGTTGGGAAATTGATAATAATGCTGTATTTGGCGTTACAGTGTTGACCAGGTGGAGGAGTGAAGCAGATGACTTTGTTAACAGTTTTGTTTATTTTGCTCATTTAGTACAAATACCAAGTGAATGTGGATGGCACTGTGGCTGCGTACAGATTCCCTTATCTCATGCTGGGGGACAGCCTGGTCCTGAAGCAGGACTCGCCGTATTATGAGCATTTCTACATGGCACTAACACCTTGGAAACATTATGTGCCAATTAAAAGAAACCTTAGTGATTTATTAGAGAAAGTTAAATGGGCCAAGGTATGTTTTTTCAGTTTGAGTTTCTTAAAGCAGTGACCAATTCACTAATATTATTTGCATGAACTCTAACTGCAAATTTTAATTTGACATAATTTAATCAAATGAAATGTTATTTTTCTGACATTTTTATTTTCTTGAAATATCCAGAGGATCAACTTGAGGATCATTTTATAAACCCCTAGCAACATTGCTAAAGGTTTGATAACACCTGAAGTTTAGTGTTCTATATCTGTTATAGATAAGGAATCTTTCATTTTCTGGTTGAATTTCCAAAAATATTTTCTAAAATTATTTGCCATCTTGACGTCAAATACATTGTATTCTAAAAATTGACTTGGTAAAGCCTGTTGATTTTATTGCCAGATAAAATAAGTTACAAAATATACTGTACAACTTTTAAACACTACAATTGGGAATTGGAAAACAATTCTTCTTGATTGATCACTGTTCATTCTTATGTATATAAACAAGAGTATATCAAATCTAAATGATAGATTTTGAAAAACCATAATGGTTGAGGGAATGAGTTTACAGGTATGAGAGTTCAGCACCATAGCCTTGGGGACCATCCAGGTGGAGTGGCATAAAACATTCCACAAAGATAAGGTTCTACATCCGGCTTTGGTAGCACCAGCTGGGTCTTAAAAGCTTGTGAGCTTCCATCCAAGCCCGTCCATATTGGTCTCGTCCTGCCTGGAGCAAAGAAGAGTGAAGAAAATTTTTAAAAATATATTATTTTTTTAAATGCAGAGAAACAGTTAGTTCAAAGGACTAATGTACCACAAAAAACCCCAGCCTCCATGACCTTGAGACCAGAAAATCAATTAGGTTAAGGGGTTTTATGCACCAGAAAATATTTTGTATAGTTATAGCATTCTTTCTTTTCCTTCATTAGAAAAAAGTACAAGTTTTTAATGAATATTGTGCTATATACAATATCACAAGAATCAAGTTTCCCATAAAAGATTAATTCTTTCTTTAATAGTAAAAGTATATGGTAATGAAAACACAAAAATTTCCTCTTTCCCTAGAAGGTTTTATTTGGTTTCTACATTTCTCAGAAGCAATATTTGATTATGGAAATAACTGTGTGCCTGAAGAGAATCATTTTTGTGGCCTTTATAAACAGAGCTTTATGAGAGTCAGAGTTGTCTGCAAATGGCTCTCCCCAGAGGCAGCATGGTAAAAGAGAGTCTTTTCCAAAAGTATATCAGGAATGCTGACTATTCCTAGGACTGAAGCCTTGGGGCACTAAGGACTAGATTTCT